CACTTATAATTTTTGAAAAAACACTTTAGCTTTTGTAATGATTGGACCAGTAGGACCTAAAGGATAAAATATTCTTGCTATTTGAGATAGCACAGCTCGTCTGGTATCTACTTCACTTTGATCTATAATCAAATAAACCTAAAGCAATCTGTTAGTGGTTTCCAAAGTATACCTTAAGCTTTAGTATCATTAGTGAATGAATAACCAGATTCTGTAATCTCATTACACATATGGAACTAATTATTTGCTGACAATTTGTAAAGCTAGATGCCTCCTCTACCTAACAAAGATATAAGCTATTGTTGAATGGTTGTAGCTTTATATAGACTATTAACTCATGTTTAGACATCGTCCATGTACACATCTTGTAACAATACAAAAGATGTTAATGGAAAGTCATTTTCTCATCTTTGGCTAACTGCTGTACTGATCTTGTTGCCAAAAAAAGTGCACTAGTTGTGCCATATGTTATCGTACATAATTTATACACTTTTACTAGGTCATGCATTTCTGCTTTGAATGAAATTTTCAACAAATCTCATTAGCTAGGATACAACAGCATTATCCAATACTTTTTTTTTTTTTTTTTTTTTGGCTGCTACAAAGGCAAACTGGTGTTTCCTAAATCTTAGCCTAATAAATCATCTTGAATAGTACCTCAGTTAAACTGTAAGTAATTAAATGATTTTTCGGTAGAAGATAATGAACTTGCATTAAATATGACTCTTAAGGGTGTACTAGTTGATGCAACACACAATGATGTGGAACATAATATTTTACATCTAGTTCTTCAAATTTTATTACTTTTTGCATATGACCCATACTTAAATAAATACTCTTTCATTAAAGTTTTATAAAGTTCACAAAGTTTAGGCTGTATAGCTAGGCAATTCCACAGAGAATTTAAACATTTTGCAGCATTTGTCTTAGATTCACCAAGACACGACAGGTTTTCCTTTAATGGCATCTTTACTGCATATTTTCTGGTTTCAGTTATAGAATAGATTTTGAGAAAATGCTCTTCACAAATTTCTGTTTCTTTAGTCTTAAAATCTCAAGCTGTCTTTCTACATGTTCGATTTCCCAAAACTGTTTTACTGCTCTTTTTAACTTCAAATTATCTGTGATAAGCCCAGAATGCAATTTACTTTTCCTATTAACACAACATAGCTGAAAACGTTATTTTGTAATCTTAAATTTGAATCCTGAAGAGAAATTTGACCTGGTTTTAAAAGCTCATAAAAATATTCTGTACTTACAAGAAATTCAGTTCGACTAAGCTAAAAAAATTTATCATCTGCTAAATTGATGTTATCTAAAGATGAAACATTAATTTCAAGAGGCTTAGATGGAGTGTTTTCTGTAATTTTAGTAACCACTATAAAATTTAAAATTAAATTAAAACTGTCTCTATTTAGAATAGTTGCATTAACTTTAGATTTTATATTCAAAAACAAATTATTTATTCCTGTCACAGAAATGTTAGTCTTTTCCTCCTTTAATTGAAGCAAATCTGCTGGCCTTTTGCTCATAAAATCAATAAATGATTTCCTAAATAGTTGGAACATAGATGTTTAGATTTTACTAGCTGAACTCTATCATTTACTAAAGATGAATTTCATTGCATAATAAAATACATTTTGAATTTTTTCTGTCAGTTAGAAAACCTTTTGACACATTTCTGGGGTAAGTATTTTTATTACTCAACCTATAATTATCAACCACAGGTTTTTCCCTTTGATGTATAATATAAGTCTATCGCCTTAGCTAACTCTACAGGTTTGAATGAGGAATTTGCTCACCTTGCCTTTGCTTGGGCTTGATAAGGTACATAACCTCTTTATCAAGTTTGACATAGTTTATCAGCACTAATTGTTTTTATATTTCAAAATCAGTCACGTTTCTCAGTTTCAAATAATAATCCTAACTCATATGCAGATTTTACATAAGTTTCATTCGTCGCTCATTACTTCTTCCTAGAATTTTCTAAACAAATTTGGGAAGAGGGCTCGAATTCTCTTATCACTATTGCTTTAATTTTTGAATAATCTCCCAGTTTTTCATCTTTAATGTATGTAATAATATTTGTGGCTTTTTCTCCTAACGGATTTAGAAGAATTTCCGATCTGAACTTCTGTGGAGAACATTTTTAGAAATGAATGCCCTTTCTAAAGATGAAAAGAAATAACCCCAACCTTCCGGTCTGTTTGGAATTTATTTTGTTAACATCCATATACTTTTAATAAAAGAGTCTAGATTCTCTTTCCCTTTTCTCATATTCCACGAGACTTTCACTCTATGAGGCTGCTCACAACTTGAATCAGAAGCTGCAAGCTCTAGTTCTGATTTCACTCTTTCCGTTTTTAATTTCTAAAGTTCGAGCAATCATCTCTTGTCACTTTTTCTTGTGTCAATGATATTATCTGCTATATCTTCAACTAATACAAGGTCATTTTTTATATCTTTCACAGTTTTTAATTATATCTGTTAAATCTGATGCAGTTTTCGCTTCTGATATGTCTAAATTCAGTTCTATAGCAAGATGCTGACAATCTTCCTTTTTTTTTTTTTTTGCAAATTTAAAAACTATTTTTTACAATTACACAGTTATAACAATTAAGGTCACATACCTTCTAATTAAGCGTAAACCACAAGTTTTCTTCTCATGATGCTTGTCTTTCGAACTTGGCACACACTGGTATCTCTGATGACATAAGGACCAACAATAGTGCCTATTGTATTGTATCAGTAGTTCAGTTAAACTCATATTTAAAATAAAAACCCTTCACATAAGAACACCATGGTGGGCTATATCAATTATTTATTCCGAGAGTTGAATAATTCCTATCTCTCAGTGGCGTCTTAGAACACACATAGGGAAAAAAAAAAAAAAAAACCCTCAATAGAAGTGACACGAGGTGACGCTACAAAAAACATCAGAGCATCGTCTATAGGCACATGTAGAACACAAAATATTACACATTTTTTCACAGGTGGCACCTCTGACGTCAACAATACTTCTCTCCTCCCCTGAAAATTAAAGTTGTTGATAATTTAAAATATATCTATATGTATTTACCACTAATGCTATTGATGTCTTTGGAAAACTGTGCTAGTGTTTCTGTATCCATGTTTTATAATATTGTATTAGAAAATTAAAAAATAAGTTAAAATATTTAATTTATAATTGGCTTTATAAAAGGATAACCGGTTAGTATCTGCTATCCTGTTGTAAGCTAAAACAAAGTTATGTTATCAGTGTTAAGATTTATCGTGTTATAATTTGCTTCTACTTTTATTACAGAACAATTATTTATTGTAGAATCATTTTATATACTAATAGTAATTTGTGTAACTGGAATAATTTATGAAAAATTTATGAATTTTCTTTATGTACTTTGGAAAACCATACCAATATTTCTTGATTCATGCTTGATAATTTTTTGTTATATAGCAATTAAAGAATAAGATTTATCTAGTTATACTTTGCTTTTAGATATTCATTATAGTAAAATGATTTATAGACTTATAGTAATTTATCAAATGCATTAATTCGTACAATATTATGAATTCTAGTGATAATTTTATAAATTTTTTATCCAAGAATTCAGATTCTATACTGGAAGGCATTGTATGATAGTTTGAAATAAACTAACTGCTTGAAAATGAATATAAAATATTATTTCACAAATTATTTTGCAGTATCTTACATCGCTTATTCATTTTAATCATAACCTCGGTATTCACATATACTATTATCTCTTGTGACATTTAAATTTTACCTTTGCTAATTAATGCATTAATTCATTGACTGAGTAATAAAATACATATTTTATTAAATTAGTTCCCATTACAAAATCTAGATTCTAAACTTATAATACAGTACAAAATCCGAGATTCGGACTTATCGGGATTTTGGCGATTCCTGATTTGGGATTTTTCTGGATATTAGATCATTAGTTTAAATCTAGTAAGATGGCATGCAGAAATTATAAAATTAAAAATATGAAATCATGATTTATAAAATAATGAAGCATCCTATGATCTAAAGGGTATCAAAATTTACCAAAAAAAGCGTAATATTTATCTGTTTACTTCATTAAACATTTCTCTGAATGTAAATTGTTTAAGTTACTTCATTTTTTGTGCTTATACTTTCTTTTCAATTCTGTAGACAGATATAATTTTTTGTTCAGTTACAAAGTTCCACTGTGCAAGTCCTGTAGCTGCTGCATCGAGAATTTCGAATAAATTGTCAATTGAAATTTTTTGTTTCAATAACCTCTTGTGACTTTCTTCACTATCGGTAACGGTATTTTCTGGATCTAGAATCATACTACAGATTTCGCCGTCCATTAACTGATTGATGATCGGAACATTGAAATCACAATGAAAAACTTCTGTTATATTATCTTTATTTATTACCACTTCTCCACATTTCTTTACAAAATCTATTAATTGGAAAAGCAGATACGCAACTACAGAGCCAAATTATTGATCACACAAATTTATGTTAATATGATTGTTTCTTCAGTAACAAGGTATTTTATTCAGAACCGAAGTGAAATTAAGAATCGAGATTCTCCACATGCTTTTTTTTTTTTAGAGGGTGGGGTGTCAAATGCGCATGTGTAAAGTATTAAAAAAATTCCTAAAAAAAATTTGTTGATGGCTTTAAGGTCCAGATTTTAGATCATTCTGGATATTGGACATCCAGATCTCAGACTTTGTACTGTATATTTTGAAACGGCTATTATAGCATCATGTACTATACATATATATGTCCATATAACCTTGTAAAAGATGTTTAATGAACGGAGTAGCAAATCGTTCTTCTGGAGCTATAGAATGTTCCGGTTAGAGAACAGATTGAGCATTTCCCTGTTGTTCACACGTATGTTTATGTATCTTAAAGAAAAATTGGTTTATAACTTTTTTTATTTGAAATTATATTTGTATAATAAATTTCTTATTATTAACTTATTTTTTTTTTTTTTTAGATCTGTCCTTCAACTATATTAAATTCATCTCTGGCTTAGAAGGCCTATCTAATCTTAAGCATCTGAATTTGAGTTCTAATGAAATATGGTTATTGGAAAATATGGAACATTTAAAAAAGCTTGAAATGTTTGTAATCAGACATAATAAAATGACATCTTTTAATAACGTATGTATAAATTTATTAAAAATCAAAAGAATGTCTTCATGTAATTTTGACAATAAATTTTGCTTTATAATGATTTTAGAATATAAATTTAATACATTTATATGCTGGTATATAAAATCTTGAATTTAGAATTTTGAATAGTATATGACATTTAAATTTAGATTTTCGTTATGTCATACATATATATGTACGTGCTTAATTTGATGTTTTTTCTTTAAATTAAGAACCTTAATTGCTTCATTATAAAAATTAATTAGTTTAAATTAGTTCTTGCTTTAAAATATGTAATGTATATAAATATCTTTAACATGCATACTAAGATATCTGTATAAATTTTCAGTACTTTCTGATTATACCTGTCCCCATAAAAATTTGCCAATGATTTTGTGACATAATATAAACTATATGTTTGGCCATTTTTACAGATCATGTGCCCAATTTTTGTCATTAATAATAATAATAAAAAGAAGCATTTTATAAGAAACAAAGGATTTTATAAGCAAAAACAAAAAATTCCCTGGCCAATCTTTACATTTTTACATCTGATGGATACTGTTCAGTAAAATGATGGTTCAGTGTAAAGTATGTCATGGAGTGGCTATTGTCATGTGTATACTAAAAAATATGTCATTTTTATCGAATGTTAAAGCTGAGAGTGCAGATAATCAGAAAGTTCCAAATTTTATTTTAATTCTACTGTTAAGTATCTTTGATGAATATGTTTTATAAATTATTTTTTCATACTTTGAGGCTGTAACTGTTAAATTTGTTATAGATAGCCATTTGTTACTTTTTTATTTTGAAATATATAAGGCAATTTTCAGTCTTTCATATGCATATTTTAAATTAAATTTTTCCTTTTCCTGTTGTTAATTTCCATTCTTTATGCAACAGTCAATAAAATATATTCATTAAATGAATGTTGCTGAATTCATTTAGCTTTAGAACGATTTCTTTCATATAGAGTTTAAGTCCGTTTTATTGTAATAGTTCACAAGAAGTTAATTTTTTCTAGGCTCAGTTGTTAAGTGTTTCTTTCTTTCCCTCCTCCTTTTTTCCCCTTCCCTTCTTTTTTCCTTTTTCTTTTTTTTTTTTTTTTTTTTTTCCCCCTTGGTCAACTTCAGATAAGTAATTATGTAAATTTAAGCTAGATTTTGAAAATAGGAGTTATGTTCCATTATTCAAAACTTAAAAAATTATTCATTTACAGTCCTATGATTATTTTTTTCCTCCAGATTCGTTATATAACACAATTTGATAATCTGTACAGCCTGGGTATTAGCGGCAATCCTTTGAGTCAAAATGCTGAAATCAGACTGCAAATTTTGGTTCTTTTGCCACAGCTGAGATATCTAGACTTCAGCATGGTTACTGAAAAAGAAGTAAGTTTATTTATTAATCATTTATTTTTTTTTTCCGTAAAAATCTTTAATCAAAGTCGTATGTTACTATGAAAAAAAAACTGTATTTACATAACTTGTTAAAGAATCATTACAATTTTTGTAATAGGTTCAATAACTAATAATTATTAAATAACTTACCTTGAATTTTTATAGACTTTTAGTTACCTGGAAATATTTTACTTTGAAGTGTTAAATAAGGACAGAAAATAAATAAGATTTAGATATTTATAAGCACTATTACATGTTTACATCTTTACTGAATGCTGAATTCTTTTGTCATCTTGGTGCATCTACTGCTGAAGAAAACCAAAACAAAATTAAAACACATACTCAGTAGAAAAACATCTGGTACAAGAACAGTGCCACCTACAGAGGGCATAAATATGGCATAAAAACATTTCGAATCTTAACATATCTTTCCCCGGCTGAACTCTCAAGTTCAAAATGACTACTTAAGGAGAGGGCAGTATATGGAAATTTGATGTCATTAAACTCCAGTCAATGTTTTTACCTCAACAATCAGAACAACTCCATCTTTTCCAAGAAAAATTTTTGTGAATCTTCCAAGATTCCATTTGAAAAGAGGAAGGGAATCCTCTTTGAGGTACACCAAGTCATTCACTTGAATGTTCTTTGCATACAAAGTCCACTTTTCTCATAGTTGCAGTTGATTCAGATATTCTTTTTGCCATTGTGACCCAAACTGATTATGAAGTTGCTGAATCAATCAATTACGAAGTTGCTGGAACTTTCTCAGGAAACATTATAGGAGTACCTATTAAACAAGGAGTAAGAGGTTTTAAGTCCTGAGGATCTGAGGAAAGTGGAGTCAGTAGCTTGGAATAAGGATATGTTCCAATCTGTATTACTAGAGTGATAAGTACCTCAAAAGTTAAGACTTGTAAACTTTGAATAAATGTTACTTTGCAGAATCCTCTGAAATGTGGAGCTAACAGTGGGATTAAATGCCGTGTAGTGGATTCTTGAGCTGCAAATTTTTTTATTTTAGCAAAATTGAGAAGCATGGTTCTTTTATATAGGTTGCTGGTCCTCAAAAATTTGTTGCATTATCTGAATACAAATTTACTAGCCTTCCACATCTGGTGACAAGCCATCTTAAAGCCACTAGAAAAGTGTCTGTTGATAAATCTGAAACAACCTTGAGGTGAATTGCTTTAGTGGCAGAACAAATAAAATAGCAATGTATGATTTAATTCATACTCTGCTACATGTCAGATTAGGTTGTATTAAACAGTCTCCCAGTGTCAAGTCCAACTTTCAGAAATGCTCTGCCAACACTAACTCTACTAGAAATCAAATTCCATATGATGGCATTGCATGGTTGTGACTTGCAATACTATGATGGTATTGTATGGTTGTCAGTCAAAAGCAAGTCAAACACTTAGAATTCATCGAATTGCGTCTCTTCCAGAAGGAATTCAATACTTTTGATGGATGCAACACAAAGTAAGTTGAGGATCACTATGTAAATGAATTTTCTGATAATATTGTAATTGGTACAGTATTGATGAAATGAGGGTTCTTTACATTTGGGTATAAGAATTTTGTGTTTTTCATTTTGATCTAAGTTCGAGTTTGTTAATCCTCCTTCTGCTCTAATAATCCCATCTGCATCAAGGAAAATATTCATTAGAATCAGCTAGATCTTTTGAGACAAGTTTTTTTTTTTTTTTTTTTTTTTTTTTTTTTTTTTTTTTTTAAATAGTCATACTCAAGCTTGAATTCTGATTTTTGAATGGGCTTTTGCATTTTGCAATTTCTAGTGAATCTTAATCACCACAAGATTATTATAATTAAAATTATGATATTTGGACATAATTTCTAATATATAGCAGCAACTTTAGGTGTACCTGAAATGATGATGTTGACTGATAGAACAATGTCTTTTCTTCGCATCTGACATCAGCCAAACATGCTTCCTGTAGATATCTACATGGAGTGAAAATATTTTTTGATAGAACTATTGAGGACAATGCCATCACAAAGTATGATATTTAAGTTTTGCTGCAGAAATACCTCTCAAGGCACAATCTGCTGTTTTTTTTTTTTATTTTTTTATTATTATTTTTCACATATTTCTATGAAGCTTCTGAAGTTCAGTCTCGAATTTTTGTATCCAACTTGATACTTTGAATTTTGTATATCCAATCTTTTGATAGCAATAAACTTTTCCATCTTTCAGGAGATGAATTAAGCCAATTTTGAGTCCAAGTATAAAATAGTCTGATGAGTGTAAATATTCTTCCTTAAGGATGTTGAAACAGCTTTATAGAGTCTGGAAAGAAGAAGGAGCTGCACATAGCTTTAGTCTTAGCACAGGAGCAACTTTTGCTTTCAAAATAATCAATGAAATCTCAAATCTTCTATCTTCAAATTCTGTGCATGTCCAGAAGCATCACAAAAGCCAGTTAACTGACTATTTTCAATCAAATTGTTTTTCATCAAGAATCCTGAAATCCTGGTTTCAGCTAAATGTTTAGTTTGAGATTTAAATAGATTCCATGCTTAGGAAGCGTCATTAGATAATAAATCATCCCAGCCAGTGTTTTTCTTCCATAAATGGTGCATTAAGATTTTTAATTAAATGGTTGTAATCGATAAAAATCCAAGAGGATGATAAATTTTTGCAATAGTTGACAGAAGTTTTGTTAAGATACTATCAATAAGTAGGTTTATTTTATTTTCGATACACCTTCTTTAGTGTCCCAATTGATTCCTAGAATTGTATGGATTTAATTTTTCTTTATTCTGCCCAAACTCTGTTCTTCTTTTTAGTTTTGGGGATAAAAAATCAATGATTATTCATTGGATTCCATTCTCTTATTGGAAAACTGCCTTTCTTCATGAGTTCGATAATTTGTGAGACTAATTGTTTTGCTTCCTTGATATTCTTTGCTCCCATGAGAACATCATCTACGTAGATATGCCAATATGACTTTCAAAGTTTCAAAGTTCCAATATGGAGCGCAAACAGTGCCATACTTAACTGTCAGAACCTTGAATTCTTGAAGTGGTTCTTCAGGGTTTTCTCACCAAAAGATTCTCTGGACAACATAATTTTTATTGACTAGTGTGTCAGAACACTTTTTCAATATCTCCAGTGAGTGGGATGCAGTGAGTTCTAAATTTTAATAGAATATTGAACAATTCATTTTGAAGTTTTGGACCAGTATGGAGAATATTTTAAAGAAACTCCTTACTCAGACTTTGCAGAACTGTCAAACACAACCTGTAATCTTTCAGTTTCACTTTGATATCTAATAACTCCAAAATGAGGTAAATAGAAAAACTCTGATTTTGAAAAATCGACATTTGGAGCAATCTGCATAGGATTCATAGTTTGATATTTCTTGAATCACCCAAGAGAGCTTTATTCTTAAATGAAAGACGGACAACAAATTTACCATCAGAATTTTGACTAGTGTGATCAAAATAAATGTATCATATATAAAAAATAAATATAAAATATCATATATCAAAATAAAATGATATCCTGCTGTTCTTGATTCAATTTCAAGCTAATACCTTTCCTGATATGAAACAACCCAGTTTTGAATTTAGAGCGGATGGTTAGTTTTTATTTCCCACTATCTCTCCATCCAATTAAATCTAAAAATATATTTGCACCTCCAACGATGTCATTTCTTCAACTTATATGAAGAGAAGGGTCTGCCAGTTGTAATCCTTTCAGATGAAGCCAACTGAATTCTAAATATGGCAAAGTTTGGTAAATTTGATGTCAGCTTTTTTGCTACTATAACATTAACCCTAGAATACTAACCCTTACATTTAGTACAGTAATACTAACCATGCATAAAATTTACTCGCTACATATTTAAAAAACATAATTCTTGAATATGAGCATACATTTGAAATCTACACAAAATTTGTTTATTAAACATATCTGTGTAATAAAATTCAGCAAAATAAGCATACTTAATGAGTAAAAAAGAAAAACAGGGAGAAAGAAAAACATAACTATGAAAATTACACTAACATATTGCAACAAGTTAAACAGAATTTCTGCTGATGTTCACTGCATGTTGGCTTTTTACGTTTACGACAATAAGTAGTAGTATACCTTCTTTTAAAATATGAACAAAAAGAGCAATATTTTCTAAGTCCTTTACAGATATCGCTTTCTTTGCATGTTGTTGAGCTTGTTTCTTCTTGTACGACTTCGTACTCTTTATGAATGTTTTCATCACTTATGGCATTTTCTATTATTGAACATAAAAATTTTGGCATAGTTGAAATTTTAAGTCTATTTATTTGCCATTCTCTAATAAGTTTGTAAGGATCTTAAGTTTTACTAACGTTTATTTTATTTTAAATCTTTACTATCACTTCTTATTTTCTACTTCCGGCCAGAATTAAAAGCTTTAACTTATTTATGCAAAATTTGTCTGGCGAATGCCAAGGACTTAAGTTGTGGCTTTTTGCCAAGCGAGAGAGAGGAAGGAGTTAGTCGAAGCAGGCAGCTTACCTTAGCAGTTTTACTCGGTTGCTGGTTGCCTTCCAGGCCAGAGGTTTAATCCTCTTGATAATTTTAAACGTATTGTAGTGTTAACAGTTCTCTGTACTACATACGGCTTCCTGTTAATATACGGCCAATCTTCCACGTAGGCCCTTGTTTATTATTCCAAAGTTAAGTTAGAGTTTAGTTAAATATTTTTATATTCTTACGTTCAGACCACAAGTAGTTGGTCTCTGTATTCCGAAGTACGGAAAGTATTGTAAAGAGTGAAAAAATAAAGGGTTTCGTATACCCTTCCTGTGTATCTTGTCTACTTCCCACATTTATTGAACATAGCTTTAGTAAGCTCCCTGTTCCGAGTCAGGTTCTTCAATGTTCCCCAAGCAAGTAAGGAGAAACACTGAACCTGATAAGTTGTCCATGTAGATTTAACATATATTGCAATTTATTTAGCGTAGAAGTTGTGTGTATTACATACGAATTGATACATGCCATATTTAGCATATTATAAAAAATGCATAAAGGGCATTTACGCGTTTTTCTTCCACAATTCATATGGTGACACATCTGATCATAAGTATCAACAGCTCCTTTTGATTTGTTATAGTTACATACGACCTGAGGTGTCAAAGTTTTATCATCAATTGATGGTTCTTGATGTGCCAATGATAAAAGCAGCATGAGTTTATCTATTTTTGGTTTATACGATAGTGAGATTAAATCCTTATGGAATAAAAAAAAAAGCAAAGTTCCTGGAGCTCTTTGTTGAAATTTTATATGGACAAATTCTTCTGGAAATTCTCTTGTTTTTTTTTACTGTACCTATTACAGTCAACTGATCTTCATTTAGAAGTAATTGAACTAATGGTATATTTGTAAACCAGTTATCAATAGTTATATTTCGGTGTGAATTTCTTATAGTTTTAATTAATTTTTTACGAAATATTCAGCAGCTGGTTACTTATTTGGGACAGTTCCTTTACCCAAATAAGGAATTGCACCAATCATATATTTTGTAGTATTATCACATAACATCACTAATTTAATTCCATATTTATCTGGTTTAAAAGGAATATGCATCGTAAATGGACAATTTCCTCTAAATCCAATGAGTTGTTAGTCTATTGTTACATATGCTCCAGGTTTGTAATTTATCAGCAATTTGTCAAAACGTTGTCCCAAACTTCAGAAAGTTCAGAATTCCATCAAATCTTTTAAGTTGCTTGATTTCAGTTTGATGCATCAATGGATCTTTTTTGACATCTTGATTTTACTCCAAAAAATATAATTAGTTATACACAGTTACCATGCAAATTTCAAGTACCGGGTGGCCATAATTAAACTGACAGTGCTCACAGTGTTCTGTAGCACGATCTATTTGCGAGAATGACACCACATTTTGTATTGGTAACAAGATGGGGGACGAAGGATTCTTCGAAAAAACAAGTTAGTTCCAAAAGTCACCGCTAGGGGAATATTTGGCGCTGTGTAATAGAAAATAGAGTGTTAACAAATGCAAATTAATACGGAATAAAATTACCTTTTATTATGCACATTTTCTGATTTAGTTCAAGTGCAATATGGCAACACTTTTTAAAAAGTGTAAAATCTACATAAACATCGATAAAGTCTCGTGATCTGCAATATCACGTACACTGAGCAGAAGAAGAAGTTCTTTATTCAAATTTCACATTACATCCATTCGCTCAGTGCCAGCTGCTTGGGTTTTAAAAGGCAATGTGTTACGTTTTGAATCAGTCGGATTGAAAGTTTATGTGTAATGTCTCCTTCTTTAGTCGAGCGTACGTTACTGGTCAAATTCTTTTACCTCAACCAGTGCAACGCGTCAGCCACTCTTCGTGCTTTTAGAACGCACAAAAAAATGTGTAAAGGTAACAGTCCTGTGTCAATTAATGGGCTAAAAGCAATGGTTGCGACGTTTGAGAAAACAGGTTCTCTGAAAGTTTAGTCAGGCAGAGGACGAAAACCTGTACCACGGCGATTGTCGACAGAGGACCAGACAATATTGCTGCCACCTCTAGTGCTCGTGGAGTAGCTCGGAATATGGATATGCCTTACAGTACAGTATGGAAAATCTTACGAAGGATTATCAATTTCTATCTGTACAGGATTAGCCGTGTACAGGAGTTACAGTACCCCGACCATGATAAGCGATTGACTTTTGCTCCCACCTTTCTTGCCAGAATGGAGGTGGATGATGCTTGGCCGTGGTAAATCTTATGGGGAATACGAGGCCCACTTTTACCTGAATGGAACTGTTAATACCCAGAACTGCCTAATTTGGGATGACAAACCACCACATGCAGTCACAGCAATTCCCTTACATTCACCAAAGGTAACTGTTTGGTATGGGTTCACAGTGGAATTTATCGTAGGTCCATTCTTCTATGAGAATATTACCCCGACAGGACTGGAAACCTGTTCTGTTACCGGAGAGAAATATCGCCACATGTTGAACAGCTTTGTCATTCCGCCACTTCAGCAAAGACAATGCCTGGGGGAAATCATTTTCATGCAAGATGGAGCCCCTCCACACGTTGTTGTAAGGGTGCAATAGATGCTACGACAGAAATTCACAACAGAAAGAGTCATTAGCAGCTACTTTCCAACTGCATGGCCACCTCGGTCGCCTGATCTTACCCCATGCGACTTTTGGCTATGGGGTTACCTTAAGTCCAAGGTCTGTCAAGGAATGGTCCAGGACCTGGCTATGTTGAAGGATAACATATCACAGACTGTACGGGAGATTCCTGCAGACATGTTACTTTCTGCTGTTGTACATACTGTGCGCAAAATGCAATAGGTGGTCCACAACAACGGCAGCCACATTGAACCTCATTTGAATGCAAAATAAAAGGTAATTTCCGTATTAATTTGCATTTGTTAACACTCTTTTTTCTATTACACAGTGCCAAATATTTCCCTAGCGGTGACTTTTGGAACTAATTTTGTTTTTCGCGGAATCCTTCGTCCCCCGTCTTGTTTAATCTTCCTACAAAACGTGTCGTTATTCTCGCAAATAGATCGCGCTACAGAACACTGTGAGCACTGTCAGTTTAATTATGGCCACCCGGTATATACTTAAAAATGTATAATAAAAACCAGGACTTGTTAAAAAATTTTAGTGTAAACGATTTAAATACAACTAAAACTTCTTTAAATAATTTTCATTTATAACATAAAAATACATATTTTGATTTCTTTATAAACCAGGTTACTGTCAAAGAATATTAGGCTCAGCTTTTGGTTATCAATAAACCTCACTGGTAGTAGTGGTAAGCTCAATAATTAATAATTATTAAATAGCTTACCTTGAATATTTGAATTTTTATAGACATTTTGTGTTACCTAGAAACACTTTGTTATGATAAATAAGGACACAAAATAAAAAAGATTTATATTATTTAATTTATAAGCACTATTTGATTCTTTACATGCTTACATCTTCACTAAATGCTGAATTCATTTTTCCTCTCATTACATCTACTGTTAAAGGAAACCGAAACAAAATACATACGCAGTAAAAACATGTGGCACAAGGACAGTGCCACTGTACAGAAGGATAAAATAAAGCATAAAAAGATTTTGAAACTTAACACAATTTAAATTTTTAGCATGTTCATTTCATTGACCACTTTTATAAATTTATGGCTTTCTTAATTTTAAGAAATTGATATTATAATCTCATAATTTATCATTTATATGTTCTAAATTTTCTTTTCATGCTATCAATTTTTTACTTTAGTTAAGAGAAGCATTTGAAAAGTACCCGCTCAAACTTAAAGCTAATGATGTTGATTTGTTCATGTTGAAAGAAACTGAAAAAACATTTCCATCTCTGTGTAATAAACAAATTTCCAATAAGGTATAATACATATTTATAAAATTATCTGGTATTTTGTCATCTTTTCTTGTTATAGTTTCTTTAATTGTATCTAATATAGGAATGCTGTTTCTAGGAAGCTTTTATAGATGGGCTAGGAAATGGCCGTGGCCTTGAAACTTTGTTGGCTTGTGACAAAAATTTTCAGTTACTTCATTCCTTCCCTCTTGCCTCCAGTGTCACTAAGTAATATCCTTTCACTTATATTCTACTTAAATATCTTTTAATTTATTGTACTTAAAATGTTTTTGTGATTGTAAACCAAATTATCAGTTCTGTTGAACATTTAAAGCATTTGTTTAAAATTCAAATCATTATAGATTAGAATTCTTCACGCAATAAGTCTGGAAATAAACGACTGTATTGATGTACAAAAGTTAAGAACAGAGCAGGTTTCTCACTTGTAATTTTTGCACAACAGTGTTTTTAAATTGGTACAAAGCATAAAAGGTACTTATGTATTAGCACAGCCACTTTAGTGAAAGTTGCCAAATTTTCAGAATAACTCAAACTATGGCAACAATGTGCAGAATAATTTTTCACTTTTAACTATCAACCTCACCACTTTTATATGCATTGTTTTTGTCCAGCAGTTTTTATAAATAAATGTGGAATTTTTGTCTTAAGCTTCATTTCATTATGGCTTTAAAATCATAAGAGATCTAAACTGGGTTGTGTTGCTTGGCAACCAAACCTTGCTAGATCACAAAAACTGATTCAGTGATTTTGTTTAAAGTTTCTAACTTTTCAATTTCATACAAACTTGGCATAAGAGCTGCCCAATCACAGTTAAGAAACATAAGTCGACAGTTTCGCTGAGTCAGCTACACATTTATACATGTGCAACTTTCTCTTCCCTGATTTATGGCTTAAACCTTGTTAAAAAAAGTATGAAAGAACTTAATGACTTTTATGCCTTAAGGGCTATCAGAAACCCCTATACCGACAATGTTAAATTGGCCATTTTCGATGTACCTTTTCTCAAAGTCTGCTGTAGATACAAGCTTGAAATTTTTTCTGTAATTAAATTATACCGATCTGATTATACTGAAATGAGTTTTTGAAACATATTGAATTTTAGAGTAAATAACAGGACATTTTGTTAGGCATAGTAAAATTTAGCACTTTTCTCACACAAAAAAATTTAAAAAGATTTTTTAAGTTTATTACAAAAAGCTAATTTCAGTAAATATTAGGGAACCTAATAAATAAGCCGTAAAAAGTTTAGATACCTGTGAGCAGTAGTTCCTGAGAAAAGGTACATCGAGTATAAAAAAATCACGTTTGGAGAAAAACGCGTTTATATGTAAAAATTCTCATTGATCAAAGCAGTAGATGACAAATTAAAACTAGATTTTTTTACAGTTCTAATTTTCATAGAGATTAAAGAATGGTAATTTTAGAAAGGTAGAAGTGTAGAAAATTTGAAAATGCAAAAATCCGAAATCACAATTTTTTGAAGATTTTGAGATTCCAACTCCCCTTAAACTACAAAACCTTCATTTTAATGAAGTCTTAAACTCAATTTTAAAATATATGCTTGATGGAATTACCTACAGTGAAAGTAATTGTGGTATACAGTATTCTGTAAAAATAAAATGTTTTGCCACCTAAACACTAAAGGGAAGAACAGTTGCTCAAACCTATTCTTAAAGCATGTGAAATTTCCACTAGAGCAAAAGAAATTAAAACCTGCTTGTAATTAGGTTTATTAATTTTGAAATTAAATATGTAATTAAATCATTAAATTTGTGTAATAGATTTTTTTTTTTTCAATAAGTCATCTCTCTTTTTCATCTCTAAAATGTCAAGTTGGTTCTGCCTGTTTCTTTCACTGTTATATAAATTTCATCACTTTGTCCTTAATTTTTGTATGCCACTGTTCTTTTAAATGAAAATTTTTGAAGCAAATTTTTTCTTATATTGAATCTTAATTCTTTTTTTTTATTATATTATTTGCAAAGTTTGTACCTTGTGTTTTTAAATTACATAATGTTTTTGAAGATTTTATTTAAAATAAAATTTTTATAGTTTCCTTCCCTTAATTAAGTAAATCTGAAAAGAGTAATTTTGTGAAAACTTGTAAAGAGTTCTGCTGTGAAATAATTAATTTAATGTATTTTGCATAGTTATTCTACTACTTTTGTCATGGTGCTTCATTTTCATTCTTTGCATTATTAATCTTCAATATAATAATAACAATAAGGATTAAATACATTTGTGCTAAAATATTTAAACTTATATTTTATCATTTTTATTTTAATGTCATTTACTCTTCAGCTATAAAAAGATTATATATGTATAATTGAGAAAACCTTCTCCTCCATGTTCGATGTTTTTTTGTTATAGTTTCAGTCTTACTTGGATTATGTGTTAGAATGATATATTTATTTTATTTATATTTAGTAGTTAGAGTTATTTCATAATTTTTGTGGTAGCTTTTTTACAAATTTCCATAACTTCATACTCATTGTTCTTATATTAATACCGCATTTGATGAATGGCATCAGCATGGCTATGAGTTTTATGAGAAAATGCAGCAAGAAAAATTGGAATTAATAAAAATGGTCAAAGAAGTTCATGAATATGTGTTGAATATTGCACGAGAAGATGAATCCAGATTTATTACATTGAGAGAACAGGTACATGATTCATTTTCTTTTCTTCATGTTGATTGGTACTGAATTTTATATTATAACTGATATAAGCCAAATTTTTTATTGAAGCTTTATATTTTAAATAAAGTTTATTTAAAATTTAAACATGTTTATTATTTAAATATGCATTCTTTGAATCAGGCATGACTTTGTACTTTTGATTTTAAAGAAATTTTTTTTTTTATTCCCTTCCTGAGAAAAGATTTGTCCCTGAACTATGCCTTTACCAATATGGCATTCTCTGAGGGATGGCTGAACACAATGGTAATTTTGCCTTCTTAGTTCTCTGAGCGTTGTTGAGGTTGTAAAGTGTAAATCATTAATGTACATATAAGATTGAGAAAAGACATCACAAACATTAAATCTTAAACTTCAAATCTATGGTGCATGCCACAATATTGGTATAGTATGAGAGCAATCAATAAATAGATTTAATTGTTTAATGATAAAAATTAATTAAATTCATATTTTAAATGATATATCTGTGCATTAAAAAATTGCTCATAGTCTACATTCAAATGCTTCCCCTTTGTATCATGCAACATTATCTCCTCCTGTTTTTGTAAAAAGAAAGTCATCATTGTTTTTCTAAGCATCAAAAGGTAGGTGTTTTAAAGAAAAAAAATCGGGCAAAATATTTTGTTTAACCCTCTCAGCATTACAAACAGAAAATTACTAACAGAAGGGGGCTTTTGAAATCATTACACATGAAATTTTCTGCCAGCTTTTAATGTATCCGTTTTCAGGTAGGATGTATATTGGAAGAAAAGGAATCAAAAGTCCAAAGTGCAAGAGTCATTTTTTAAATATAATCAAGAAAATACCATTTATTCATGAAATTTAGGGGCTAAAACCCATGATGCTCAGAGGATTAAATGAAACGAGACTGGAACGTAAGTCACAAATTGCCAATAAGAGGAATTGTCATAAATTATTACTTCATGGTACTTTTATTTTTATCCATATGTAAGGGTATGCAGGAATATTCTCTTTGTGTAAGAATGTCGCTGCAGCAGTATTGCTGTACCATATGGTACAGCCTAAAAATCCAGTGATCACCATTAACTGTAAATTTGATGGTAACTGATGTACTATCATTTATTTTCACATTTCATCCAAGTTTACTGCGTTCCCTATTCATTTTATGGATTAACCACAAGTAACATCAGAAGTTAACCTATAAGTCTTGGGTGGCCTTGATAGGTCCTCTTGCTTCATTTCATTATTATATGTTCTAAATTGTATGCAAAAGGGATATTATGAAATCATAATATATTTCAGCTCTATCTACTGTTCTATTTACACTGGCCCTGCTGGTAGCATTTGCCACCTTTATATGCAGAGATCTATTTTATCTATAGTAGAGGTTGTTTTACTGTCCGTTGCTAGATTTCTCATCTGACATGGTAGGTTCTACAACTCTTGTCATATTATGTTCCTTCTAGCACCATAAATTCAGAGCTTTAAAGTTAAACTTGCTGTGTAAATTCTAAATGGAAGCAGTGCTATAAATATAATATTTACATTTTAAATTAATCTAAATATTTATATTATTCTAAATTTATACATAATTAATTTTTCTATTGTTCATTTCTGCATGTTTGTTGTTTATTTATGCACATAATTGCTTTATTATTATTCACTTCACTCTTCTTTAAAATGTGGCTTCTATTAACAAATACTGCACATGCTCATGTAGTGTCCACGCGCCAACTTTACCGATAAAATTTATGTAAAAAAAAAAGTGACTCATACAATGTCCGCACCCCCAAAACTAAAGAATTTCTTACTTTAAAATATATATTTTTTTAACATCGCTTTTTTCCCTTTAGTCAATAAATATCTTGAAAGAAAGAATATGCATTTGTTTTGTCTTTGGTTGGCGCCAGAATGGAAAGCAGAGACTTTTCTTACATTCTGGTACAGCTGTTATTCAATCTTAACATCGGCACCAGCAATCAACTCGACAGATGCGATAATATATGTCCAAACAGTTTTCACTACACTGACTTCCAGGTAATACTGTTTTGTAATGAAATTACGTTCCCCTCCTTCCTCCTTGGAGTATTCGCATATTTCAAGCTTTCTCTTTTCATTCATAGTATCATTTGGAATTCGTGTTAGTTAGCAAGTAGCATGCTTAAAATGGGAATATACAGCGGCTCTTAAAGTCATTGAATTTGTGCAGGAAAATGGAAGAAGAGCAGCAGCAAGCGTAGAAGGTGGACTAAAAGTGTGTGCGCAACTGGAGCAAACAATGTGATCAACTGGCAGCGACAAACAAAACGAGATGTGCATTTTGTGGTTCGAAATGTAAGTTTCCGAACTTGGAAAAAAAAGTAGTTGCGTATGTTTGTGATAGGCATGCTCAAGGATGCGTAGTAACAGGAGAAATGTGCCAAATAAAGTGCTTGCTGTGGTACGAGAAGACTTTCCTACATAGCAATTCAAAGCGAGTGAAGGCTGGTTGCGGCGAATGATGAAACGAAATGGCTTTTCATACAGTGTGTCAGAACAGATTTTAAAAAAAAATTATATGTGCAAGATATTAAAAGAACCAATGTTTGTTTTAAAATAAATAATGAAATTGCAAGTGTTGCTTAATTTGCTCCTCTATATTGTGCTCCTGTGCAAACTAATACACGCCGAATGTTGATAACGTAAAACGGGGTAATTTATCTTATATATGTGGATGGGAGAAAGTGAGTTTGTAAATTTTAGGTAGCTAGTAGACAACTTTAAATTTGGTACTTTTATTACTTATGCCATTTTCTTCCACTTAGAACTTAACTTGGCTGTTTGAAATGAAATTTACACCCAAAATTACGCATGAGAAAAAGCGCGACATTTGAACGATCCATGTAATGTCCGCACCTGCATTTCAGTGATGTAATTTTAGTAAAAAAAGTGGGGACATTACGTGAGTATATACGGTAGTCATCTTATTTTTGAAGTCTCCATACATAAAAATCAAAATCTGTGTGCAAGTCAGATAAAACCTGTATACATTTCCACATCAAACATTGCATGAATATTCCTCACCCTAGAAAAAATACTGGAAAGGTTTTTCCTATGCCTTCTCTCAGAAAACCATAAAAGTAACCCTCCTGGAAATATCTATGATTTATAACTATAACTAACAAATACTAGACCCTCCTGGAAATATCTATGATTTATAACTATAACTAACAAATACTAGACTCTTCTTGTATTTATTTTGGAGAGAGACTAATGTGAAAGATGAGTAACACAAATCGTATTTAACCGATAACATAACTGAAGCTACAAAATGAGAATGCATTTTTACTTTTATTCTATGATTTAATTACAGCTTCTGTTGTGAAAAAAATCCATCAGAAGTTCACAATTTTGGGTGGTTAAGATTGATGAACATCAGTAGTTTGAATTTTAGCATGAGAGTTGACTGCCATGGTATTTTGATATCTTATCTCTAGTATGTATAAATACAAGTTGGTTTCCCTTTGAAATTCTTCCATGAAGGCATCTCTCAAGCAGATAACCATCATGTGGTTTAATGTATTTAAAACAAATATATTTTAAAAGAAACCTGGCTACAGTTAGATACCAGAAAGATTTATGCAACTGATGAGTGGTGCTCACAAAATTTAAAGTTAATGATTAAAGGAGAATATTTTACAACTTTACTGGCTCTGGCATATTCATGTCTCTAAATATTCATAGACATTATTATTTTTCAGCTGCAAGGAATTCTAAAATGTTGTTATTCATGGGTACAAAAATTGCTGGTATAAATTCTGCCAATGCTAGAAATCCGTGCAGCCTCATGGACCTCAGTTAAATGCAAATACTTTGGGGTATATTTGAGTATTATTGGGAACATGTTTTCCTCATTCAGTATGAAAGCAAATTACAGTATTTTGTTGATTATCGGTTTTATCGCTCTTCTTCAATAAATATTTTGCAAATTTTGCATCTCAACTGAGTTGACACAGTGTGAAAGGCTTAGCAAGCAAAAAATCAAAAAAGATTTAAATTTTCATATGTTTTGTGTTAAATCTGTATTGGAGAAATCTCGCATAGATTTAATTCACAGATAGGTAATAATTTCGATGAAGATATCTTTCCCTTGTGCTTGCTAAAATCAAGTTCAGTTGTACTTCTTTTAAATTTTTACTGTGTGATGTGATCTGAATATTGTATTTCAAAATGCAAATAATATTTTTCTAGATACCATGCAAACTTTGCCTTATTTACCAGAAGTTCCATTCTAGTGAAGAAAAAGATCGAAAAGTTGAAGAACTCAAGGAAGAATATAAAATTAAACTTCTAAATACTCACAGAAATTTTATGCTTTCGCTGTGTTTGTGTGCAGATCTTATACTTGTAAGTTTTTTTTTTTTTTTTTTTTTCTTGTGCATACTGCATTATGATCTTATCATGTATTAAAACAGTTTTTCATATTTCTTTTACAACCTCCCTACATATACACTTTGTATGTCTTTAGCACGATGCCCAAACCATGAATCTGCAAATATCTTTTAAAAAAATACACCTGGAAAAAATCCAATTGCACTTTCTGTGATTGTGCTACACTAAGAATTTTTTTATGTGGAATTTGTTTTTCTTTCTGAGTGAATTAGAACACTATAAAACAACTTAAGATGCCAGCAAAAGTAGCAAAATATGCGAGTTCTTGTTTTTCACACAAATGTCAGTAATATTTTATAATGAAATCTGTTATGTAACAAATTTTTTAATAAAAAATTGTTTTGTAATATTTAAATATTCAAGTTCATATATCTATTAAATCCATAAAATTATGTATCTAATTTAATTTTAACATTCAAACCATATATAATCTATTTCAGTTTTCATACCACTGTAGCGATCATGTGGTGCAAAAGACCTCAGTGGCTTCAGGTATATAGTTGCTTGCTCGTGTCGCTATCTGTTAGCACTAGTGAGAAGTGCTTCCGTGCACAAGTTTCACATGACCAATCACGTCCGGGTCACCAATGTGGCAATCATGTAGGGCGATAGACCTCTGTGGCTTTGGTATGTAGTTGCTTGCTCGTGCTGCCATCTGTTAGCACCAGTGAGAAGTGCTGCAGTGCACGAGTTTCGCATGCCCTTGAAGATGATAATGACCTTGAGATTCTGTTTTGGGTCTGTTTAATGCGAGTCAAATGCTCTATCACTGCTGCAAAAGAGCTCCTATGCACAAAGTTCGAGAATTCCTTGTGAGTATTGAGTTGCTGTTGAGATCGCTAGGCCACATTATATTTTGTTGTATTATTGCGTTATAGTATCATGACATTAATCAGCCATGTGATATGGCAGATTTCTAGGTGTGGACAATGCTGCCATTCTTAAAGTAGATTTTTAATTTACTTTTTAAATGATTAAAGAATATTGCATTATGCTGCCGTCATTCAGAAGATCTTTAATATATCTTCCAAATGATAAAAATATATTGCATATCAGTGTAGCTAAAGAAATAATTAAAAGTGATATACAAAAGTCCGTAATCCGTACAAAGTCCATAATCCGGACGTCCATTATCTGGAATGATCTATAATCTGGACTTCAAAGCCACAATCTTTTTTTTGTATGCTTTACGCATTCGTGTTTAATACGCATGCGTGCTTCCGATAGTGAAGAAAGTGACAGAAAGGTTATTGAAAACGAAAAAATTTCGATTGACAAGTTAGTTGGTATTCTCGACACAGCAATTACAGGACTTGAGCAGTGGAACTTTGTAACTGAACAAGAAATTATGTCTGTTTGTAGAATTAAAGAGAATGTATTAGCACAAAAAACAAAGCAACTTAAACAACTTGCATGCCATCTTGCCAGATTTAAATTGATGATCTATAATCCAGAAAAACCCCTAATCCTTAATCGCCGAAGTCCCGACCAGTCCGGATTACGGACTGTGTACTGTATATGTCTTAATAATTTGTATGCTCCTTCTGTCTGAAAATATGGTATATATTTAGAACTTATTTTTGTCTGAAATTATTATATATGTTTACAACTGTCATTAATGCTGAGTAAGTCTCTAGTGTTTAAATGAAGCTTAGTCAATGTGGGTCTTACTATTTTCTAAGGCCTTTTGTGAACACATTAAAATAGCTGGTAGCCATCTCTCATGATGATGCTTGGCCTTATTAATGTGAGAAATCTTGTAGGGTGTCTGACAAGGACATAGCTTCTCTTTCTACTGCACACAGATATCATAGTGACTTTTGCAGGATGTTTCAAACATAAGCGAATCCATGTGCATGTGCAAACAGCCTCTTCTTTTTAGCATTGGCTGGTCCTGCATTACAACTTTCCATTCACTCCACGTAACTTTACTTACATTTTTATTACAAACAAAACACCAACCAGCCATGTGTCAGTTGTTTGATTAGCATATGAATTTACACATATTGACGCTTGATTTTAATTTTTTACTTATGTCTCATTAATCTTGAAAACATTTTCAAATATATATGTACTTTTGGATGAAGGGAGTATTTATTTTATTGTTTTATAACAAATCTCTTTGCTCTAATTTATAATACTATGCTGATTCAAATGTAAGAAAATGATATTCTGAAAACCATAACTGTCTTACATGCACAACCTAATGGTAAAAAATGTATTAAGGCAATTTATCTCTAATTTCATTCAACTTATTCACTTATATTAGCTCAAAAAGTGGTATTTAAGTTATCTTTGTGTAGCATTTTTATGCTTAAATTATATTATTTGTATTATTAACTGTCTTAGTGTAACTAATATTATTGCAAAGTTACAATTGCTCTGGAAGCTGAATTTAGGCCCTACAAACCAACTAGACAGTTTAGCAAGTTATTGCTATGCCTGAAATAGTATGGAAAAGACTTGCAAAGGTTTTAAGTAACCCTTTTATTTAATCTTGAACTTTTAACATAAAAGGCATGGCTCATGCAACAGACAAGAACCACTACTCATGGTGATGTAAATTAAAAATAGCAGTCAAATAAATTCAAATGTTGATGAAAAAGTCTTAACACTACACAGTCAAATACCTAAGCTATAAATAAGTTCCATAGGCTTAATATTTTACCAGCATGTAAGTTTAAAATATCAGCTGTGAGAGAAATGCAAAGCCAAGATAATTACTTTTACATAGAGTAATTACTAGATAATTATTTTTAGATAGAGGTGGCAAAGTTCTAACAGTCCTACGTAAGTATCAGAAACTCTCTTTCTTTCTGTAAGATTCCAAACCCTCAGCTTATGTACACTAAAAGTTAGTTTGCATTCTAGTAAGGAATAATCACAATAACTAGTTAGTTTAACTTAAGAAACATGCAGTGTAACCACCGCCCGAGGTGATGCCTGAATTTTCCTCTAATCTTAATGTACACTAAATTGTTAAAAGCCCTCAAAACATTGTGTATGGAAACTGAAGTACCATATTTAATTTTTTTAATTTATTTTAACATTCTAAAATTTTATTTTTCTTACTTTTGTGAGGAAAGTCAGCAATGACATTAACAAAATCTATTTCGTGACATTCTTAAATAACAGCAACCCATTATGAATGTGCCATCATCTTTTTGAAGATCGATTGCTTTTCTCTATAACAGCTATCATCTCGGTATTCCAAGATAAGAGTGCCTACATCCTCATAAGATCAGTTTTGGGTCATAAACATATGAACTAACTATATTTAAACATTTTTCGCTAAATTTTCGTGATTAATTATTTTAGTGTGTTTTCATAAATTTCCATTCATTAAGAAAATATTTAGGCCATTAAAGGAAAAAAAAAATATTTTAAATAAGGTAATATGCACCAGATGATAAAAAGTGTTATAACTACATAAAGGCAGCTATGTTAATAATGTTAATAATGCAGCAATGGGTTAAGAGCGTTTAATACCCCTTTCTCATGTCAATTTTTAATAACAGATGGCGCTACGAACGTTGAGCGATAAAGACTCAAATCTGTAAGACTACCTACAGCCCGGTTACTATAGCAACGACGCTTCCCTTTCTCTTAACTCGTTTGGCGGGAAAGTGAGTAAGCCATAAAACACTTAAACACATCCCCTCAGTTAAACAAAAGGACCTGTTGTCATTTCTTCCGTCTGTGACTCAGACTGCAGGGTATGTTTTGAACAGGAATAGAACTTTTTCACTTTTGTGTTGAATGAAAGATATCTATGAGATACGTGCAGCAGTCGCTATTTCTTTTCGCAAAATTTGTTCATCACGCTTTTCAATGTTGCGTAATGTTTCATAATTTTGCCGTTATTCTGCGGAAGAAAACAGTTTTTAAAAATAAGTAGATTTTTAAACATTTCGGTAATTTCATCGCGACATAAAAATTATATATAAATGAATTTATACTTGATGATATGTGTATACATATATAGCATGCACATAATATTCCATTTACTTATCCATCCATAATATTTCATAAATTACCATCCATAATATTCCATAAATATGTGTTAGCATTTTCCAGAGCTTTATATACGAGGGCCATCCAGGAAGTAGATTACGTTTCCGTCTGTGTCCGCTAGGGGCGGGGCTCGTGCGGCCATCTTGGGGTCAGAGCGTTGCGCAGCTCAGTCTGCATCTAGCCGTGCTAGTGAGAGGTTCGTGCTGTGCTCCGTTCAGATACTGTGACGGTTTGAAATGTCTGCGTTAATTGAAAATCCCGCGAGCTGCGAGGTGCGCTCAGTAATAAGGTTTCTGACTGCAAAAAACTGTAAACCGATAGAAATCTATCGGCAGCTTCGTGAAGTGTATGGGGACAACATTATCACTGAAGGTGGAGTGCGTCAGTGGGTCATAAGATTTCAAAATGGCCGAATCAATGTTCACGACGAAGATCGAAGTGGGAGACCCAGCATAGTGACCGCCGAACTTCTCGAAAAAGTCGATGCTAAAGTCCGTGAAAATCGAAATTTCACAATAACGGAACTTTCTTTGAGTTTTCCTTTCCACAAATTTCGCGAAGTTTGTTGCACGAATCATCAGCGAAAAGAAGAAGATATTCCCGATATTACCGCCCTTTTATATATATATTTTTACTTGTATTATAAAATCGTATAACACTCCTAACTATTATTTTTTTATTTCAAAAGTGGATAAATCATTATCAAATTTTTCTAGTACACGGCACATTATCTGAGATCCGCTTTGAATGAAAACTACATAAAGTGTTATAATGAACAATCAGTTTTCAAGATTTCACTTGATACTGAAATGCATAAAATCAAATTGCGTTTCTATGTTTCAGGTTTATAAAATACAGCTGATAATTGAAGGGGTAAAAGTACAAGCTGATAATACATGATAAGGGGAAGAAATTCCTAAATTACAAAATTGAATATTATA